GCAGACTATTTTGATGCAACAATACTCCTTAAGAATCCTCAGGTGAGTTTCTAGCCTAAATAAAAACAATTCCCTCCATGCTGATTTCAAAAAATATCTCTCAATAAGACACATAGTCTATGATGTCCTCAAACAGGTGGATCCTGAAGGTGTGGCAGCCCAATTACAACATGCTTGTGTCCGCCGGATTTGCAGAACTTACGGCCCCAATCACATCTGGGCCTGTGATGGCTACAATAAGCTGAAGAATTATGGAATCTGCGTGTATGGATTCATCAATGCATGGTCAAGAAAAATCTTAGGAATGTTTGTGCATGTTACCAATAATGACACGCGCCACATTGGAGTTTACTTTCTTCATCTGGTTTTGAATATTGGTGGCATTCCTCTGAAAGTCACCAGTGACTATGGAATTGAAACTGTTGACATGGCTACTTATCAAATGTGGCTGTCTTCTTGATTTGGTGGAATCACTACTGAAGAAGCTGAGAAACGTATGCACTTTACCAAATCAACCCACAACCAAAAGATAGGAGCCCTAAGATCTCAGATCATGAAACAACACAACTGTTCCATCATGCACAACATTAAAGATGGCCCCATGGGACCCGGGTACCGACTGTTTTTTTGGCCAAAATGGACACCGGGTACTGCACCCGCTCAAGTATGACGGGTACTGGCGGTACTCCTGGTGGGTACCGCCTGGCTACCGGAGATTCTTCCAGGCAACCTGGTTGAGACCAATCAGGTCGCCAAGGAGGGCCCTTACTGGCGACCTGATTGGTCTTGATCAGGTTGCCAAGGAGGGGTCCTCTCCAGCAACCTGGACAAGACCAGTTAGTCTCGGCCAAGCCACCAAGGAGGGGGTTTGGGGGCAGGTACCCTTAAAGTTACCAGGGTACCGTCTGCTTTTTTGCCCAAAAGCAGGCACCAAGTACCGCACCCGGCACCACTTGGCGGGTACCATCAGGGGTAGGGGGGTACCCGCCGACAGGTGCCGGGTACCCCAAAGGCCATCTCTACACAAAATTGAAGAGGCCATTCAGACAAAAAGGTATGATCTAAACAATGAAATTCAAAAGTAAGCCATTGTTTTAATTAAATATGTGATTTGATAACTGATATAATTGCCACAGACTTCTCTTTGTATTTTTATGGATACCAGTATTCCAATCTAGCATGGACATTTGGGTTGATACATACAACCATTCCAAAAGGCGTCTTGACCACCAAACTGCATTGCCAACCAAATTGTAGCGCAGATTTCTGTTACCGCACCCCTGAAAGTAAAGGAACTACGTTGGATCTCGGACCTGCTGAAGAAATTGATATGGTTTTGGAGGCTGACTTCCCAGATCATACTTCAATGTTTGAACACACCCCACATTGGTTTCATGAGGTAGCAACACAAGTTCTTGAAGACTTAGAGTTGACATTGACTTTTCAGAAATATCTGTTGGTAATGTTTGGACGGTTTTTCATAAGATGCTTCCACTTGTTGAAGAGCAATTTGATCAAATCCCCCAATCATCACTGTCATCTATATCTAGGTGATTGTTCAAATTAACCTCTTGTCAAATATTATTAGAGAATTCCCCCCATCCCAATGACTTGACACTTTTGACTTTTATTTTTCATACCTTGCCTGTGTTCTCTCTTCCACTTTCTTTTTCCAGAGGTGGTCAACCAGATTCTCCTTGAGCATGATGTGAGTGGCCCAACTGCGGATAGCTTGATATTGTAGTAAAAACATTTCCAGATTAGTACTTTGAGTTGGCAGTGGATAATTTGATTGTGTATCTAATGTATAATAATCAAATCGCTGTGCATAAGGTGTATCTCTTTTGTCCTCAATGATCAATTTGTGAAGGAGAACTGCTGCCATCATGATGGTCCATAGATCATCTAGTTTCCAAAGAAGCACAGGGTTTTGGATGATAGCAAATTGTAATTGCAGCACTCCAGAAGCACGCTCAATGTCCTTTTGGTAGGCTTCTTGCATCTTGGAAGTGTGTGTTCTTCTTTCCAACTGGGTTTGAGATTGTTTGTATTAAAGTTGCCCATGGGTGAATGTTAACTGATTTAAAGTTGACATCAGGACCAATTTCCATCTTGCAGCTTTTTGAAGAGGGGGTGATTGATCCAAGATGTTGATTTCATTTAGTGATCCTGGTGGGCCAAAGAATGCGTGCTAGATCCAAAGATCATATGACGCAACCACTTCTCCAACACCAACGTAGGCTCTTTCTCTTTTCCAGTGTACTGCCCATGATGACCCATTGGACAGTTCTTCCATGTCCAATGCATGCAGTCAAGTGATCCTGACATCCCAGGGAAGCCTCGCTCCTCCGCAACTTCCAAAAGGCGTGCAACATCCTGCTCATTGGGAGCTCCTAGATACTCTTCCTTGTATACTGCAACAATTGCTTGGCAGAATCTTTTCTCAAGAATTTGAGGGAGGTGCTCTTGGCTAATGAAAATGTCAACATCAGCTCACTCCTCAAGGGAGAGATAGGGAGAAGAGGGCTCACCCATCCGTGTATATTCATCAACAGCATCAGCAATACAGCCATATGCCATCATCCTCATTGCCAAGGTTGTTTTTTGAAATGTAGAAAATCCCAACTTTCCTTTTGCACAAAGTATTCGTCATCTTTTTGTATATCTTCCACAATTCTTCAAAATAATCCTAGACTCATTTGGAACCTTTGGCAAAGGATGAATTCTGGGTACACCAGTGTGAGGCTAAAGTAATTGTTGAAAGTCTCCCACAAGTCAATTGTGGTTGATTGTCATTCTGCCAGTGCCACTGATCCTCCCCATTTCTTTTGAGCTTGTAGAAGATCTATGATGTATGTGTTGATTTGCATTGCAATGATTACATCATCCTCATTGTTGAGGAAGTTTCCGACCATCTCATGATTTACCATTTCATCCATAGTGATGTGATCTCAAACAAAAATTAAATTCTGTGTGGTGCAAAAAAAGTGGCAAAGGGATGACCAGTGTGGTCTAGTCTGGTCGATGTATTGGCGGTCCAGCCTGTTTGTTGGGTTGCCACCTATCATGAGTCTGCTGTGGACCCTGTGCAGACAGGTCTGTGACACCCTGTGAAATGTGATCCAGGGCCGCAATCCAGGGACCATTGGAGATGCTCTAACAACTGCTACAGGGCCAGCAACCCGCTAATCAGTGCTTTAGTGCAGCGTAATGGGCCTGGGGCCTGTGTGTGTAGTGTTAGCACAGATGTAGCAGAATTCCACTATGCTACACTATTTTTCAGCAGAATTCCGCTGGGCTAATGATATGGTTAGCACAATTGGCCCATCACTGGCTCAATTGAGCATGGCAGACTCACAGGTTCCTCTGTTGTCATTGCCAGAGATAATCCAGATTCCACAGCAGTCCTGCAAATTTCACTTTGCCAAGAGGTCTTACCAGTTGCTACTAGTTTCATGAATCATTTCATTTCTGCTCTTATTTTTTTTCCACCACAATCCATTCTCTTCAGAAATTCAAAGATCAAATCAGAAACTTTGAAAGGAGAGCCATACCTGGATCCACTGAGTTCCATGAATATACAGCAGATCATTTCCGGGCTGTTGAGGCCACCAAGCTTTGGATGGACACATAACATAACTTCTTTTTACCCATTAATCAAGACACACCCATCAGCTGCACATCAATCTTTCTCACCTGGCATGTTCCAGTTGTGGTACATATATAGTCAGCCCCAGAAAGCCCAACATAACCCACAAAAAAGCAAAAAAAGCATAAAAAAAAATTGCACCTCTCATCACCAGTTTAATGTTCCCAGACAAATCAAAGATCTCATGGTGGGTTGTGGTTCTTGAAGTCAACAACACCTTAGCAGTCTGTAGGGGTCATCAATTGGCTGTGTTGCAAAAGTTGCAAAAAGAAGTGACTTATGATCAAGATTTGCAAGAGTGTGTTCATACATTGTTTTTTGTTTTGTTTTTGTTAAATGGGTTTGATTTGATTTTGTTTGATGTTGAAGGGACAAAGGTTAAAGTATAAATCAATAATAAACATTTCAAAAAAAAAAAAAAAAAGATGATATAAAGAACAAGTTGAAAGTAAGAGAAAAAAAAGAAGGGTCCAAAAGAGATATAATTAAAGGTCTGTTGTGTATTTGTATATATGTATATTTGACAAGCTCAAGCCCTAAAAAAAAGATGATATAAGAAAAGAAGTACTACATTAAAAAGATACATAATGAAGCATGGATAATGGTATTGATGATGATGATGATAAAAGAAAAAAGAGAAAACCTTTTGGAATCAAAGAGAGTGAAAGCATATGGATAGAATGAAAGAGGAAGTCTAGTAATCTGATCAACCAAAGCAAAGCTAGCAAAATGAAAGTAAATGAGAAAAAAATGAAAAAACCACTTTGTGTTGTTTTTGATGTTGGTCATGTTGATGATAAAAAAAAACAGGAAAATAAAAAAAAGCGACCACCAGAAAATAAAAGAAAATGAAGAAAGATAAAAAAATGACGACAGAAGAAATGATAAATGCAAAGGCATAAGAATATATATGTGAATAGAGCAAGGATATGTAAGAAAAAAAAGATGTATCAAGTCAATCCAAGGGTAGGAAAAAAAGGGGGGAAAGGGAGAAAGAGAAGATGGGATGAGGAGCCAAAACAATTCTAAAAAAGATAAGCGGGAGGGCCCTTAAGAGATTGATCGTAATCAGGAGGGGCACAAATCCAAGCCTCACCGTCGCCGACGAGGGAAGGTTCAGCCGCCTCGACGGCTCTGCGCATATCTTCAGCCTCCTCTCTGCGTCTGCGTTCTTCCTCAGACTCGGGCTCCTCGGGAGAGCCGGCCTCGCCCGAGCCCATTCGACTGCCATTGGAGCGACGGTCGGCTTCAGGTAAGAGTAAACAGGACAAGTTCGGCTCCGCGACC